CAGGAGGGAATCGAGCCCTTCTTGGGGGGAGGATTTGTTATTGCAAATCAGGCTTTTTAGGGCCCCCGCTCAAAGCCTGCTTAAATCAGGCATGGTGGGAAGTTAAAATCCAACCAGACAAAAAGAGAAAGAAACACCAACCAGATCCAAAGATTCTACAAATATCTAAAGATATCCAAACAACAAACTGGACACCGCCACGTCCCAACGATTCCCGGCCCAACGATTCCCTCGGCCCCCGGCCGCGGTGCCGCTTTTGGCCGCGTTTGCCTGGGCCTTCGACTTCGCCGCGGCGATGCCTCGCTTTCCGCCCCGAGGGAAGATCATGGCGGCCGGGTGGGTCCACCCCCGTTGCTCGGTGGGGAGGACCCCCTGACACAAACAGAGATCTCTAGGGGTTGATTCCTTGTCCATTCTGTTCAACCATCGTGCTTTTCAAAAAGCGGTTTTCTCAGGGCTTTTGGTGGTTTTCTAGCAAGATTCGGATCCCTGGAAACAATGAAAAAGCTACACTTGAAAAATTGCTGGCTTTCTTGTTGGTACTCCCTCTTGGTTTTAAAGGCAGAAACCAACAGCAAAACGGGGTCCCAGAAAAAAAAAAAAAAGAAAAAAAAACAAAAAAAAAACAAGGGAGCTCTGATCATGCTAACACGGGCAAAAAGGCTCAAAAAAGGCTCTTTAAGAGACGCTTGAACCAGGACCTCTGATCATGCCGAGGAATGGCTGTCTTTTCTTGTGAGAGTACCTCCCTTTTGGTTCAGGGCAAAACCAAAAACAACACGGGGCCCACCTCCCCTCTCCCCCAAAAAAAGAGAGAGAGAGAGAGAAACACAAAAATGAACAGTGAGCACGAGGAACCATCTGGCACCGGATGTGTTCATATGCCCAAAGGCCTGGCTTCGTTGAACCATACAGTTCGCTGGATATTTTATGATGCTCGATGCGTCCCTGTGTCATCCAAACATATTCTTGCTAAAAACACAACTTTCTTTGGCTGGTTACTTCCTTCAAGGTTCTGAGTGAATTATAATATTTAACCAGCCTGAAATAAGGTGGTTAGGAGGCTATTCCCACATAAACCACCATTTGGGGTGAATTCGGTCCTGTGCGGTCGTTATAATTCACCCAGAAGGTTGAGAAAGCTTCCGTGGCCCTTGGACAAACTCCCAGCGTGACTTTTGGCTGGCCGGGGATTCTCCGCGGCAAAAACAACAACGTCGTTCCGGGGCCGCGCCTTTGGGAGGTGGCGGTATCCCGGCCTGGGTGAGGCGGCGGGGCGACGCATCAGACTTTATACGAGCTATGTGATCTATGGATGTGGGGGTGTCTCTTTTTTTAGGGCACCCTTGTTGGATTGGTTTTCAGGAAAAAAAGGCAACCTACCATTTTGGGGTCCCCTAAAAAAGACGCCCAAAGCTGACTGGGGCCTTTCGGGCCTTCTCAACCATGCTGATAAATCAGGGCCCATGTGTTCAAATGGCTGTGGGTCAAAGCCAATGCCACCATTTTGGGAGCTCTTACCGCTTGATCCCTCTGCAGCCCCGCCTTGGTCTTCTTCAAGGCATCCACATCTTCGCGCGCTTGCTTTCCGCGGAACATCGCCTGGCAAGGAGCCCAAGCAAAGCCGCAAAGGAAAACCCGACAAATCCTGCGCGACCGAAATGCTGGGTGCTCGGTCCGCGGTTTAAGGGACTGCCAGAAACAAGCAAACCAGGCCTGATTCGCGCGACCGATGCACATGTCAAATGTCTCTGGGCGCTCCAAGCAAGATTTATCAAGGGACTTGCCAGAAACACCTTCGAATTGGGCCGCAGAAATTTAGTCCTTCTTTCCATTGACCAGGGCAGGCCAGCTGGGGGTTATAGGTGGCCTTTTGGAAAAATCGATGGGTTTCCCTGGTAAATGGAATAAACCCCATCTAAACCAGGGCCCTCTATTTTTTAAGCAAACCAACCAAAAAGGACACCTATGGCTCTATTTACAACCGCAGCCAGGTGGACCAGGCCTGAATCTTCACTGCGGCTGCCTCCTGGCACGCGGTGAGCCCGGAACACCCTGCCGAAGGGGGAAGCCTCTATCAGCAGCTTCAACAGGGATCCGGATGCACAAAATACACCTGGACATTGCAACTTGTAAATGGTGTTGTTTCCAACTATAATTATTTCGGTGTTGAAAAAGCAACATGTTTCAAATGGTTGCAAATGAATTTCTTTTCAGGAGCCCTGAAATTCAAAGGGCATCTGATGACATCTCCGTGAACCACAACCCCCCCTAGCGCTTTCCAAGGGGCTCGTCTTGACAAATATATCGAACAACGGGCTTTCCAAATTCAGTGTGGTAGCGTAGGCACCTGGCTACCTGTCAACCAGGAGTCCATCCGTCTCATTTGTACACTATATATATACATAATATATATATATATATATACACACAGAGCCTGCTGCCAACTGCGTCTTTGAAGCGTTGTGCTGGCAGTTTGCAGAATCTCATCAAGTGCCGCTTGTGTTCCTATATCCATCCTCCCAACGCGTGGACCAGCTCTGCTCATCGAATCTCCACTTGCACTTTGAGGCCTTCAGAAGCCTTGTAGTGGCAGCACTCACTAGTCCCAACATGGCTTGTCGCCACTCCGATCGGCTCCCTTGGGATCTTGTCTTCCCACTAGCCCTGAACCTGAGATGAGCCCCTTGCACAAGCACTCTTGGATACTACGGCCACATGATCCCACGTACTGATCAGTGCGTGGTCTCTGAAAGAACCGGAAAATGAACTACTTGGGGCAACTCGCACTTGCTTGCTGGACCCCATAAGCAAGGCTGCTCGAAAATGATGATATACCGAAACACGGACCTAGGTCAAGGCTCATGAAACTGGCGAATTCTTCCCCTGCTAAAAGCCAATGGGCCCCTGTCCTCGACTTGCTGCTGCACTGTCGCATAGGCCCAATTGAACTCTTCCATGCTCATCTGCCCACTCTTGTCCTCCAGGCTTCCAAATGCGTATCAGTATGTGGTGCGCTCTGCCAACACTTGAGTTCTTGGCGAGCATGCTGCAGCATGCTTTCACTTAAGTAGTGGGTGGGTGTCTCAGGTGTTTGCCCTGATTGCGGCGGTGACTTGGCATCGACAACATGACCTTCTGACCTTCTCTGGTGCCTTCAATCACCTTCAAATGGCAGCGAGCCGTAAAAGAGGCTATGCAACACCTGAGCCCCGCAGCCCCTCAAGGCCTTGTCAAACTCATCGAAGACCTCCTGGGCAAATGGCTGGGGCATTCTTCTCTGCTCCCAACCGAGACATGTTTTCCCCTGGTCGTGCTTTTTGGACCAGCGAGCGGGTGCAGTCCCTAAGTCCTCTGAGGCAAGCTTCTGGCACCAACATGCAGTCTAAACTGCTTGAATGTGCTTTTTGTTGGTTCTGTCTCGGTTGTTGCGCAGCATCGGGCCACTCTGAGTTTGACGAGTGCTGTCTGATGTTGTCTGTGCAGCTCTAGTGTTGACACTCTTTTTGTGAGATGGCGCTCTGTATTATCCACCCCTCTGCTCCCACAACTCAACCCCACAGCTCACAAATCACCCACCACAAAGCCGCTATACCACCCCCCCGCCCCGACAAAGCAACGCTCAACTTCCAATCGTTTTTCCAGCTGACTCGGCCAAACCCACGTCATCCGTGCCCTTGCGCTCCTTGAGGCTACTGCCCGGAGGGAGCTTGTGGCCTTTCATCTCCGCAATCTCCCGAGCCTGACGAAAGCCAAAAACTTCGAGCCAGACTGCTGGAACTTGGGCGATCTTTGGAGGAAAAGGGGCGGTCTGAGGAAAGGTCGTTTGACGTGAGTATCACATGTTCCGCGGAACCGTAGCGATCTGAGAAAGGTCGTTTGACGTGAGTATCACATGTTCCGCGGAACCGTGAATTTCAAGACCAATCTCTGGACCAATGTTCCTGAATCCGTGAATTCCCGTGGAAGGTTATGTCCATCTTCCCTGACAGAAACGGTGCAGGGGCTGCAAGATCTCGGTGACAACTGCGAGAGTCAGAACAACAGCTTGCTCAACTCACACCAAGTTTTGCTAGACACAGCCCAGCTTTGAAACGTGGCCATGGGTCAAAACCCCGTACCCCCAGTGAACATCCCGGGCAACTAAAATCGACTAAAATGGGTGGTGCACCTATCCCAAAGTGGTACCATTGGTTTTGAACCATGGCCATGTGGAAACTGAGAGCCACTGGATACGACGACGTTATTTGTCTCATATCACTCAGCCCACTGCCATTCCGTCGAACTCCTCCTTGGCCGGAGAGGTGTGCTTTGTCTTTTTCCAGACCCTCCGAAGTGATGGCTGTCCATTTGGTTTCCCGTTAGAAAAAATAAAGACAGGGGTACCATCCAAAAAAGACAGACCTATGACACGCCTTTGCCATTTCGGTGACATGACAGTCTGACAAGCGGCTCAACAAGTCAAACTCTGGTCATAATGTTGACAGAGCCGATTGCTGTTTCGCTTGGTCTTGCGGTGGGCGCTTTCAACCAGCAACGTACCCAAACAAAAACCTCCAATCAAACATGTTGGACGTCTGGTTGCCCTTAGTGTGGTTCCCCTTAGTGTTGTCTGTCAAAACATCAATCGGAAAACAAAAACGAGCCCGACGAGATCGTGATGACCAACTGTCCATGAAGCTGCAAAAATATCCAAGCTGCGCCTCTGGTGGGAGTGGCGCTAGGTAGGGAATGGCTGAGTCAGGGAGTTGGGAATGAACTGTTCGGGGATTCCCACAAAGGAAACCATAGGGGATGGTTTTTCCAGATTAGATGACTAGCGCTAAAAAGGAAGACATCCTGCTTCCACAACTGGCCTGATCAAGCGGAATAAACATGCGGCAAAGGCGCCAAAGTCAGCATCTTGTCCTTGGCTGACGGCGGACAGCACAAGCTGCTGCAAAGGATTATATGGGTGTTTCTTGAGGGTACCCCTTTTTGGTGGTCACCAATAAACGCATTTTTTTGGTTTGGAGGGGGGACCACTAAAAAAAGACAGCCCCCCTATAAGCAAGCCCCCCTACCGCCTGGGGAAGTTGGGAGTCGGTCCATTTGCGACAATCACCACTCAATGGGAACAGTTTGGGTGGGAGGGTTGGTGGCTTGATTTACGCTCGTAGGAACCGAGGGAATGTCTGCCGGCGAGCAAACAATGCTGTCAGCGAGGCGTGACCCGAACAAGGCAGCAAAGTGTGCATACGCCAACCCCACACACACAAATACAGGGAGCTGCAAAACACCCCCGGCGAACATGTTGTAACTTTCTCCCGCTCTTTTAGCCTTCCTTTATAGTCTACGTGTTTATTTTTAGCCCTCATGCAAGGACATCTGTTCGAAAAGTTCTGTTTGAATCGCCTGCTTCTCATGGAATCAACGGGAATGAACCCGTTGAGATCGAGGAAACCGCCAACTATCAACAGACGAAAGTGGCCTTGGTTGCCAAAACGGTCCAGGTGAACCCACTCGGTTGGTCCCCAGCGAGGAAACCAGCGGCTGGATGCTCTGGGTATGGGTCAAAATGGAACCACCATGGGACCGCAGGTTTTAGTCCGTGTTTCCATTTACCAGGTTACCCGATTTTTGACCCACGGCAGTTTCTTGCGTCTGCGACCGAGGCTCCCCATTGGTGTCGTACTTCTGCCGGAGCTGGTTCAGCTGGTCAGGAGACAGCGCCTCGGGCAAAATTTTGCGAGTCTTTTGCGAGACTTGGTACCCCCCCTTGTGTGGTGCTTAAAGGGAAGGCACAAGGAAAAATGCCCATGTTGGGGAAAAACACAAACCAAAAAAACGACACCGCCATTTCACCAATTCGCACTTGCGTGTGGCGAGGGGCGACTTCTGTGGTTCAATGTTGGATTCCGGTTTTGAAAGCCTGCCGTCGGGCTGCTCAACTTCAAATGCGGCCAGCCCACTTGCCAGAGTTCGAGTGGCCAGTCCATTTGCATCAAGAGGAACGACCAGCTCAAAGCCACAAAATCACCAGCCCGAGCACATGGGATAGTCTGATGACAAAAGAACTGATGGCACGCCTAATCGCCTGCTGGTAGCAAGCTCGGACGACAACGGCAAGATCATGTCAGCGATGGGCCATGGAGTGGCTGGCAGTTTGATTTTCAAGGATCGTAGGTGAGAACGGTATCTTGCCAAGATGAGTCACAACTAAAACAAGGTATTAAAATGGCCTACCCAAACCAATGTAAAGAACTACAAAGGCGGCCGCATCTAGGAATCTAGTTCTGGTTGGGATTGCCCCTTGCTACGCTCTAATTACCGGGTTTTTGATTGTGACTCAAATGACGCTGATGTACTACCCTCCATCATGAACCAACCTTGGGTGAAAGAAAATGGTCGTCCGGAGCACAGCCTATGGAGATCAAGGGCAGCTTTCCACCCGAAAAAACTGGCTCTGCCTTTTTGTTGATACCCCTTTTTACCAAAAGGCCCCCGCCCCCCCCCCCCCCCCCACGTTTGCTTCCTTCTTCTTTTTTTTGGGGGGGGGGTTAAAAAACAGGACACCCCCCACACCAGCAGCCCCCCCACCCCCCCACCCCCCAACCTTTTCCCCGCTCCATCTCTCGGGTTTCTCCCTCGCTGCCGAGCCGCGGAGGTGCCGGAGCTCGGGGCCTTCGCTTTGGCCCCTCGCGTCTCGAAGCTCCGATGTGCCCCCGGCGAGCGGCGAGCGGGCATGCGATGCATGGCGCGGGTCTTAAAAATACGGGGTAACCCCAAAATGGCCTGCCCTGGCAAATGGCAATATGAGCTAAAACCTGCGGTCCAACTCCTGGCGGTTTAATTTTGACCCATACCCACATGGTATTAAACGAGACCCGGTTGTTTGTAAGGGGATCGTATCAGAAACCAAGATTCTAGGGGTTTCTGAAAAGGTGGTGCAAGATGGATTGTAAGATTCCATCCACAGTGCGACTTGAGTCATAATCAAAACTGATTGGGATTGAAATGGTCTAGCATACCCATCTAGGTACACCCTCAGCGCTCTTCCAACATCTTATCTACCCTCCAACAATCATGGAAGCTGACAGCAGGGGGTTTGCGAGGGCACCCCTGTTTTGTGGCAAAACCCAAAGGACCACCATTTTGGAGGCCTAAAAAAAAGACGAGCCACGCCACCCATATGGCTGTGAGTCAAAACCAATGGTACCATTTTGGGGTGGGTGCACCACCTATTTTAGTCTGTTTGAGTGGGGATTGGGATGTTCACGGGGGTATGGGATTTTGACCCATGGCAATATAACTGCAAAGCAACCACGGATCTTCAGCCCAAGCCGTGCCTGCTCGCTTCGGCGGAGGTGGCGCCTTTGGCTTCACTTTGGGCGCCGACCCTGTGGCCTGCCGCGTGAGCGTGTGCGGCTGAGTCAGAATCAAAGCCGATCGGCAATAACACGGTGTACCCGGAACCACGTAAAGAACTAAAAAGGCGGCGAAGGCACCTATGTATGCTTGGAACCAAGCCTTACTAACCTTCATCTACCCGGGTTCTGATCGTGGCTCAGCTGTGGTCCGGGCTTGCGTTCATCTTTTGAGGGCTGTTTGAAAGGGAAACCAACATGGACACCGAAGCAACTTTGGGCGGGTTCCCTAAAACACACCCACATGCGGCTGTGCATGTGTGTGAAACACAACAGTACGTTCACCTATGTCCTCCAGACCCAATGAAACATAATTGGTACGGCGGGCAAGATTTCCGTAGGTTTTGGTTCGCACGTAATATGATATTGATCTCCAAAACCGAAAGCACGCAACCGAAAGTATACTGCTCACCTTTTGTCACTTGAGCACACCTGGCTCATTCAGAGCATCTTTTAGCAACCGGTTGTGACACTGACGAATGTGTCAGTGACGCCGAACTGCAACCATGCCGATCCGCTTCTGAAGGCCGTTTTGCCCATACCCCTTGACCACCCAATACCCGACCTTTTTTTAGTTGGTATCATGTCGACCCTCTACTAAAAGAGGAGGTATTTACCTTGAAAAACCAGGTTTTCCCAACAAATACCCTAAAAAAGTGGGTATTTGGAGTAAGGGGTAGTGGAAACAGCCAAAGTCACCGAAGAGTAGAAAGGATTGGTCCAACCAGCACAAGAAGCTCCCAAACAACAGCAGGCACGTGTCGTTCGATAATGGCTCATCAGGAACGATAACCAGAAACTGTGCTGTGGAAATCGCAACACAAGCCAGCTCTGACAAGAAATGGACCAATGTTTCTGAGAAAATGTGATAGCTCATGTGTCAGAACATGATACTGTCCTTGAAATATCGTAAGATTGTGCTTTCAACATATTTTAACCTATCAGACTTCCGCGCCCCCATCTTTGCATTCCGCTTTTTCTGGTTCTCGCGTGTTCTCGCAAACCACTGACGCCACGCGGTCCGAACGCCAAAACATGTATAAACTCTATATTTCCCGCCACCATGGTCTTCCCAAGAAGTTTAAAGCCCACGCAAGAGAGGGTGCCGAAAATCAAGACCACCAGGTCATTGAAGCATCCGATGGCCACGTTTGGAGCTTATGCTCCGAACCACGGGCGCAGGAACCAAACTCTGAGCCGAGCTCGCCTGCGCATCCTTCCTGGCTTGATTTCCCCGGACCCTCGCCTGCAAGCGAAAGCAGAGCCCCAAGAAACAAATTTCCAGATGCCTTCTCAGGCATTCGGATTTATGTGGCCCAACATCGGACATAGGAAATTCGTCATGCTGGCCATGATGCCATCTCAGGCATTCCACTCATGGCCATTCACCGCTTGCGTGCACAAATGCGCGAATGCAAGAATGGGTGTGGGTCGTGCGACAAGCTGGAGGCTCGAATTCTGTGGCCCAACATCGGCATTTAGTTTGCCCCAAAAATTGGTCATCGCTTCATCTCACCACTCGCTTGCTTCAGTCGCAGGGGTCTGTCTCAACATAGGGGGAACCCCAAGGGCGGTTTTCTTTCTGCTTCCCCCCCCCCCCGAAAAGGGGCAAGCTGCAAAAAGGCACCCGCATGGTGCCGGGTGCCTTGCGTGCTTCCGAGCCTGGATCTTGGTTGCTGCAGCCTCCTCGGAAGCCAATAGGACAAAGCAAAGAAGGCAAACAGGGATCCGGATGCATTATATACCTGAACATTGCAACTTGTAAATGGTGGATTCCAACTTTATTTCGGTGGGAACAACATGCTTCAAATGGTGGCAAAATGGAGATCTTTTAAGGAGCCCTGGAAAAGGACAAGCGCGTGTTCCTTTCTTGACTCAAAGGGCCAAGGAGCTCGTGGCTCGTGCTGACCATAAGGCGTTGGCTTTTGTCTTTGTGAATCGCCTTCCTTGAGACAAAGGGGTTGCTCGCCGTCTTGCGAAGATACCCCGATCTGTTTTGCGGTTGAAAAAGAGGAACCCAAGAGCACAACCACCCATTTTTTGGGGGGTCCCCGAATAAAGACGCGCCAGCCACAGGGGCAGTCCTTCATCTTCTGCTGGAGGCTGGCATAGGCCCAATTGAACTCCTTCATGCCTGAGCTCTCACTTTTTGCCTAGGTCCTCTGGTAGACAGGTTAGAATAAGGGTACCCAATTTGTTTTTGCTTTTTCTGTAGTCTATTTTAGTGGCGGACCCCTCCCCCAAAAAAGGTACAAGGGCACTACGACCTAGCTTTGCTCTTCCCCCTGCCTGCTCCCGTCCCGCATTCGGGTTGCTTGAAGCCAGCCGCACATGGGCGTGTCTTTTGTTGAGGCCCCTCTTGCTTTTTTTTCAAGGGACAGTTGGGTGTGGCTTAAAATTAAAGAGGAGGGGCAAACCGCCGGTTTTGGTCCATGTTTCCACTTACCGATCGGGCAAGCCATTTTGGAACTCCGGTTTTCTGAATTCGCCACAGCCACTTCAAGGAACGCCATCGCTTTGGGGGGTGGGGGGGCCCCCAAAACAGCCAGCCCCTCAGATCAGCTCCATTCCCATGGGACTGGAAGTGGACACAACTCGCTCGCTCGCTCGAGCGGCGAGTAGAAGCACCTGGAGTCTCCACCCTTTAAAGATGGGGCCATTGCCCGAAATAATGGGGGCATGGACCCATTGTTTTAAGGATGGACCCATTTTTTAAGGCTGATGGAGACTCAATGGAGACTCCAGGCAGTTCCACGTCCCAATGATTTGGGATTGCCGATCAGTGCACACGCAAGATGCTGCGATTCGTGCGGCCATTTGGGTGTGTCTTGAGATAGAGGAGCCCCCAAAATGGCGTCCTTTTGCTTGTTCATCAAAATCGGCCTAAGGGTACACAACAAAAGGACACCCATTTCTGCGTGGCTGCTCGCAAGTTGGACAGGCGTCCAGGGTTTAGGTGCAGGTCTAGGGTTAGGGTTCTGGTCTGGCTTAGGGTGTAGGTTTAAGGTTTCGGTTTGCAGCTTGGGTTCGGGCCGGGTTTGCGTTTAGGGCAGGGTTTGGAGTGGTGGGTTTAGATTGGGGTGGAAGCCATAATAGGCTCGAGGTTCAGGTTCGGGTTTAGCGATTTGAAATCACGCGTACTGTTTTGGTTTGGTGTTTAGGTTTAGGGGCTTTGGGTTTGCATGGGCTTCGGTTTCGAACTTTGGCTTTGCTTAGGTTTTAGATGCAGGGTTTAGGTGTGGCGCCGTCAGGGAGAAACGCTTGGCGACATTGCTACAGAACTAGCCTCTGCCAGAATCACCAAGACAATAGCACATCCACTCCGTCAATACATTGCAGCACTATTCCTTTCTTCACTACCTCTCTCGGATGAAAGGAGTGCAAATCTGGTACCGGCCATGGATCAATAAACCTCTGCCTCCGGAGCTCGGGGGACAACCCGAGATACATGAACTTCGAACCGAAATCGGAAAGCCAACAGGGCTTTCCAAACGCCATGCTTGCCTCGCCAAGCCGCTGAGCTTGTTGCTGTGATCCTTGTCAAACTCGTCAAAAATATCCTTAGCGCTCCGGTGCTCTGCGCATCCCACTGGCCAGGGGAGCAAGCCTTGAACATAGGCGGCCTTTAGGGAGCCCCCTGGTAAATGGACGGCAAACCAATCTGAACCAGTGGAACCCATCTATTGCCCAAAGTAACCAATCAAACCAAATACACCTACTGCGCATGCTTGCGAAATCCAGTTCGCACCTTTCAGAAAACCTGGTTTCTGATACGATTCTCCAACAGAAATACCAACCAACCTTATTTTTTGTTTCAACCACCTCAAACACCCTGATGCCTGATGATTGTCCTATAACTTTATGGTTTCGCGGCTTCACAACCATGTGTATCTCCTATAAACCCACCTTCTGGTTTCAACCATGGTACCCTCTCTACCACTAACATGGCACCTGAAAGGGGGTCCCTCCAGGAGTTGGATCCTCCAGCTACCCTCCCACAGGTGCCATGTTAGTTGGAGGGAGGGTAACTGACACCTGATGTCTGATGATTCTCCGAAAAAAATAGATGAGCCATATGGTTCTCCCATGAAACCCACCTTATGGCAACTCATCCACGGCAACTCATTTCGCGCCACCGGTGCCTCCGGTCTACCGGAGCTCTCGCCTTGAGCTCCGGGCGTCCAGGTCCGCGTCAGAGGGCACCGCGGTCTTCTGCAAGGCCGCCAGCTCGTGGCAGAGGGCGGTGAACTCTGCCTTTGTCCAGATCGATTGGGGGCTGGGGGGGAGGGGTGGGGTGGGGGTGGGGTGGAGGTGGGGTGGAGGTGGGGTGGAGGTGGAGGTGGGGTGGGGTGGAGGTGGGGTGGGGGTGGGGTGGAGGTGGGGTGGAGGTGGGGTGGAGGTGGGGTGGGGTGGGGTGGAGGTGGGGTGGAGGTGGGGTGGGGTGGGGTGGAGGTGGGGTGGAGGTGGGGTGGGGTGGGGGGGGGAGGGGAACATGGACCAAAAAGGGGAGAGGAGAGGGCGGAAAAATCGGGCCCCTGCAAAAATTTGGTCTTTTTTTTTGCCCGGGTGAGTGGAAAACAAAGGGACCCCAAAGAAGCAAAAAACAAAAAAAAGGAGCTAATTCTGGGGAAGAGAGCTCCAGATCGATTGAGCTCCGATCGATCGATTTGGCTGTGGTTGTCAAAAATAGGGGAACCCCAAAATGGCTTGCGCTGGTAAACAGAAACATGGACCAAAACTTGCGGTCCCCTGGTGGCTTAATTTTGACCCCAGATCTCATGGGGGCTGGGGGGGAGGGAGGGGCTTACTTAGGGCTCGCTCCCCCTCCCCTCCCCCCAGGCCCCCATGAAGATCGATTTGAACTCGGTGGGGGTTGGTATTGTGGATGGACGAAATCCATTTCGCACCACCTAAGAAACCCTAGAATGTTGATTCCCCCTGTAAATACCAACAAGCAATGGTTTCTCATGGTTTCAACTTGGTGCAGGATTTCGTCCATCCACTGTATCAAAAGCTCCTTGTTAGCTCACCGAGGACGGTCAGAACACGGATTTCTCCTTGGTCACTGGATTCTTGACTCCCCGAGTATTCAAAGTTCCTTATCGCAAGATTCGATGGAAGCCTTTGCGTGACTAGCTTCAAACCGCAGGGAATCGCTTCGCTAAGTTTCCACCATTGAACCATCAAGTACTTGGTGGGAGAATCAGTTCTACCGCGAGGATGTCATGTGTCAGGCCTACCCGTAATATGATCTACTAAAGAAGGTACACCTGGAGGTTGATCAATATTCATGACCCCACCCGTTTAGTGGTGAAAGTCCGCTTTGTTGTTGGTTTCCCACCTTTTGGCCACTCCATGTTCGTAATCTATGCATGGGTACTCTTTGGGGGAACAAAACGGGTACCGACACATATGGTTCAGAATTAAACCACCAGGGGACCGCAGATTTAGTTAATCTTTCCATTTACAGGGTTCCATTTGGGTCCCTATTCTTGAGCCACACCCAAATAGCCAACCCAAAAAGGATCCCTCAAAAAACAGACACATGGAACTCCTCCAGCGGTGAACTGGGTAATTAACCTGACATCGAATGTCCACCGGTTCCTTCAATCAACTGCCCGGACAAGCAAGCTGTAGCACTTGCAGATTCTTCAACTATCGCCCCACGGGTCAAAACTGCCGCCGAAGCAGCATTTGCCAGACGAAATAGTTGGAACGCCAGTTTCCTTTTCTGCCTTTAGCAATGGACTTCCCCCACGCGCACACACACACACACACATAAGATCATTCAGCCTGCAAGGCTTCCTTCCAAAACACAACTAACTACAAGATCCCATAAATTCCTACACCCCTCCCCCCCTGCAGACCCTTATCCAGGTCAAAACACATACCCAGCAGGTCAAAAGAAGAATAACATAAAAAAAAAAAAAACCTTCCCTTGGCACCAGTGAAAAGCCGCAGGCATACGCACACCATTCAGCCGAGGTGCCAAGGTGAACGATGCATCTTTGTTCGTATCATACTTCCTGAGCAACAATCGTGCTAACTGCTAACTGTGAAAACCCTGGGCTGTCCTCAGATCTCCTGCTCAAAGTTTAAGTTTTAGTGGATTTAGTGGAGACTACCTCTAAGCCCTAAAACACTTTAGACCTAAGGGGATGGCTGAGAACCACCAAGATCTTGATCATTGATCTCATTGTCGATCGGTCACTGGCAAGAGCTAAAATCCTCCCCCCCCCCCCCCACCGCTCGGCAATGTGCTCAAACTAATTAAAAAAGGTATCATACTTGCGTGAATGGCTGCAACCAGGGCTCATGTTTTTGACTATCGCAAGGCAGACTTGAACCCAGGGGTGGTTGATTTTCCCAAAACGGAAACCCTTGGGTTTGAGCCTGCCTTGGGGTAGTCAAAACCATGAAATCCTGGCGGCACATTGACATGGACAGTTCGAAACCGGCTCAGAGCCAAGGCAAAGGCTTCTGCAGGCTCTCCAACTGAGCTGGAGTCAAGGCCTAGGTTTGCCATCGTTCTGAGATGAAGCCAATTGGAGAGAATGTTTGGATTTCGGTCTTGACCCGAACATAAGAGATGGGAACAAGTTATGGCAGGATGCGTGCCTGGGGTGTGACAAACCTCTCGCCTTGCTTCATCAGTCTGCACACCTGTTCACAACGCATTACTATGGTTGATTCGCGCGAACTAGGGCTCTCTGAGAAATCAAACTCTGTCAAGATATACCTTGTGAAGTCGCGATCATTCGTACGGACTCTCTCGCAAACGCAAACACAAACACCACGCACTTGTGGTACTTCTCAGAGGAAAGTAGTCTAATGCCGTCTGGATATCTTCCGTCATCTTGCAGAGACCTCTGACGTATCTTTCGAACCGTAGCCGCCCATGTTCACGCGACAAGCAAGGTCTGGTGAGTCAAAGCACACCTTGGAGGCAAAGACACACAAACACAACCGTAAACCCGTGCACGATTGTAGCCACTAATCGCCAAAAGTGGTTGAACACTGAAAGCAACTTTTCCGGTCAAGGACCCCTACGAGCTTCAAGTCACTTGGGGTGGACTCATTGCAAACGAGCCGCTGCCACACCAGACTTGTCTGCCTCAACTTCCGCCTTTGCTTTGGCACTGCCTCGGACAATGGCAGCACGTTGCTCGCATGGATGCAGGATGGATGCCAGGCATGCGAATGTCCAAGCGACTGGCCTCCCTCCATATCAGACCCCCTTCTGAAAGCTTAACTTTTGGCGGGTTAAATGGAAACCAAAAAAAACTCGAACCACCCGGGGAGCCGGATGAAACTGGGAGTCCCCAAGAATAGATGTGGCAGTTCTCTGAGTTCTCCCCATGGGGACATGTACTTAGATCGGAAATCGGGGGACGCCTTAAGTGCTGCCCAATCGCTTGCAGCGTTGGTCCTTGCCTGCGAGATTCGATCTTTGAGCGTCGAGCAATCCGAGGTGCAAGCGAATCATTATGGGTTGACTTAAAGGGATCATACAGGTGACTCTCCTTTGGGGATTTCCTCGAATAATAACTATAATAATCAAAGGATGTGTAGAAGGAACTTCCATGCTACGAAAGCTCTCTGAGACAAATGACAAGAGACAGAGTAAGCATGCGGGATAAAAATGCAAAAGCGCGTGTGGCGGATACACACGCGTGTGGCGGCAGGAATAGGAATGTGAAAAAAGTGCAACCCTTTCCGGGTTTTGGTGCCTTGGGATGCTCGAACCTGGTCGGAGCGCGTTCGGAGCAGCCTCCTAGCTCGTTCGGAGCGCGCCGGCCCATTGGCGCAGCAATGCGAGGGTTTCGCAAGGTTTGAATTGAGTGGCAGGCGCAGCACCTTCACAAGGTGAGGTACAGATTTAGATTGCGTAGGCGCAGCACTTTTGCAAGGTCCGGTGCAGATTTCCTGGCAGGCGCAGCACGCTTGCAAGGACAGGCGCAGCACTTCTGCAAGTTCGACAGGTTTGTTTTCGAAAAAAAGAGAAATAGCTAGCAGAAAGAAAGATAGATAGAGTCAATAAACCGATAGATAAACAGAAATGTGGCAAGTGGATGGATATGCAGAAAGCTAGATGGATAGGCAGGTGGATAGATAGATGGGTCGGTAGGTGGGTAGGTAGAAAGTTAGAGAGACGAATAGGTAGGTAGTTAGATAGATAAATAGATATATAGATAGATAAATAGATACATAGATAGATAAATAGATAGATAGATAGATAGATAGATAGACAGATAGATAGATAGATAGACAGGCAGACAGATAGATAGACAGGCAGACAGATAGATAGAAAGGTAGATAGATAGATAGATGATAGATAAATAGATAGCCATAGAGACATAGATAGATAGATAGATAGATAGATAGATAGATAGATAGAGAGATAGATGGATGGATGAATGGATGGATGGATAGATGAGATAGATAAGACAGACAGACAGACAGACAGACAGACAGACAGACAGAGAGACAGACAGACAGACAGACAGACAGACAGAAAGACAGACAGACAGACAGGTAGGTAGGTAGGTAGACAGATATGTAGATAGATAGATTAGATAGAAATAATATAAATAGATAGATAGATAGACAGACAGACAGACAGACAGACAGACAGACAGACAGACAGACAGACAGAGAGATGCATGGATGGATGGATGGATGGATGGATGGATGGATGGATGGATGGATGGATGGATGGATGGATGGATAGATGAATCAATATAGATAGATAGATAGATAGACAGATAGATAGATAGATAGATTAGATTCGATTAGATTCGATTCGATTAGATTAGATTAGATTAGATTAGATTGATAGATAGATAGATAGATAGATATATAGATTAGACAGATTAGATAGATTAGATAGATTAGATAGATTAGATACATACATACATAGATAGATAGATAGATAGATAGATTAGATAGATAGATAGATAGATAGATAGATAGATAGATAGATAGATAGCTAGATAGATAGATAGATAGATAGATAGATAGATAGATAGATAGATAGATAGATAGATTAGATAGATTAGATACATACATACATAGATAGATAGATAGATAGATAGATAGATAGATAGATAGATAAGATAGATAAGATAGGATAAGATAGGATAAGATAGGATAAGATAGGATAAGATAGGATAGGTAGATAGATAGATAGATAGATAGATAGATAGATTAGATAGATTAGATAGATAGGTAGATAGACAGATAGATAGATAGATAGATAGATAGATAGATAGATAGATAGATTCGATAGATTCGAAAGAATCGATAGACATATTAGATAGATCGAAAGATATATTGATCGATGGATGGATGGATGGACGGATGGATGGATCGATAGACAGACTAGATAAACTAGATAGTTACAGAGATCGACATCCAAATAGAAAAGGAAGAAAACAAGAAAGAAATAAAGAAAGAGAGGGAGAGAGAGAAAGAAAGGAATAAATAAAGAACAAACAAACAAACGAAGGAAGGAAGGAAGGAAAGCAAGAAGAACAGAACAATACTCAAGAAAGGAAAGAAACAAATAACTATAGCTCTTATATTTTTGAAACTTGTGCCCACCGGCTTCGCCGGCTCTGGTAAAATACAGTGATAACAATAATAAGAAACACGACCATGAAAATGATAATCATCAGTCCATCACTCCATTAGCTTCATCTTCAGCACATGTTTTGACAATTCTTTGACTGGCGATCTCGACTCAGCTGGTGCAACCAAGGCACTGGTGGTTTCGGCGGCTTCGGCGGTTTCGGCGGTTTCGGCTTCGCCGGTGCCTCGGGCGAGTCAAAGCTGTGGATCAACCTTGTTCCTGGCCATGAGATCATTTCATTGCTTGCTGGTGCGACAGGCAGGGAATGCGAAATGGAACGACCCCGAGAAAAACTATCCATGGCATCCTTTAAGGGAATCCCCAGATTCATTCCCTCATTCCCTACCTATCGCACCAGCAAGACTGGTCAGGTTTTTCAATTCGAGTCCCAGCAATACGTTCGGCTCTCCCAGAAGAAACATGCATTCTGTCTGTAGGGTTGAGCACACGGCCTTGGCAGCGCCTGTGGCCAAAAGCAACATGCACGCGTCTCAAATTCACATTCAGGACAACGGTCACAGCTCAGCGCCTCTTTTTTGAAATCATGTGTATGAGGGAAGTCGCATGGCCAGTTCAAACGCATCAAACGCACATTGCCATGCGCCTTCGCCTGCCAGAAATGGCATCAAATACAAAAAAAAATCACAAGGGCGCTGGAACGCAGAAAACAAGGACAGCTGATACTAAGAAACACTCTAGTCCCAACAAGTGTCCGTCTTCACAGCGACCCTGAGGGTCACCGCACAAAAGATGGGGTCAAAGCGCACTAGATCAGATACACACTGCTCCATGCAATCTGGACTAATCAGCTCTGGACCATGGGCATTACAGTAGCGCGTCACAAAGACACAAGGTGTCGGATCAATTCCCGAAACAGCGGTCAAGGGTGTGCATGGAGCAGGTGGCCAGCCATCCGCAGTTTCTAAAATGCGGAGTGGTGGCTGGCAACCCAGAAATGACTCCAAGACGGAGCACAGAATGAAAACCAACTAATCGCCTTTGGCGGGCGACGGCCAGGATAACTACACCCCTTCAAGCAAGCAAACTGCGCACGTTGAAGGCGCAAAGGTGGGAACATCGGCGCGCTTGGAACCTCACCCGAATCATCACAGCACCTGCAGCAGCCGGTTTCCATCGCTAGATCTGTCTTCTGGAAGTGACAAAAGGAAAAGGTACAATCACAAACCAAACACAAAACCTGCAGCCCTCTTCTTGCACATCATCGAGTTGAACATGTATTAGGGGGGGAACCCAAGCTCATCATAATGAATCGCATGCCTCGGGGACTAAAGATTCAAGCCACAAAACAAGAATGACGATGTCCCCACCGCCTGTGTTTTCTGGTGCTGATGGATGCAAAATCATACTCCTGAGTTAACAATCATGAATGAAGAGTATCGCGCAATCAAAACGGCCGGTGTGCTCCAGTGACAGTTTGCTCAAATATGCTTTGCACACCAATGTAAACCGCAATGCTGCTGTCATTGGAAATTCGAGTATTGCTTCTAAATTAGTCAAGTGCTGTTTGCGCAATACGGCGAGTTTTGACGGTGTTGACGTCAAAATTTGCTCTTAAGCTTCTCATCTCTGGTGTTGTAGCCCGCTGCTGGGGAGGGGAGGTATGTTCCATGCCTGGGTGTGAGATCGTACTTCTGCAATCTAAAACGGGCCGCAGCGTCTACAAAGACGGATCTCAAGCTCATAGTAAGGTCAAGGGATCTCAGCAATGCTGTGAGCCAAACCGTGTATGCAAACGGTTTTTTGTCGCCCAAAAGGAAGCATGAGGCCGATTTCTCCGGTTGAGACAAAAAAACGCCACGTGAACAAACCACATGAAGAATAGGGTCTTTTGGCCTTACCTTTGGTTTGGGATGGCAATTCTGAACATGCAATTCTGCGAGAAAATAAGCCAATCATATTCCTCCATTTGCTTAAGTCCCCCGGAAAAATACAAATAATTCCAGTAGTGATAGATTCCCATTAAAACCAACAGGGGAAAATGAAAAATCGTCTTAACCAAATGGAAGTATTCTACCCACCTGAGGGATCCGACGCTACGTGGCCTGAAACCCCTTGTCGGTGTACATGATCACGTCACCTCGATGGACTTCCATCGTCTCCTCGCGAGCGGCGCAAGAGAAACACTGAAGCGGCCATGGTTCAAAACCAATGGCATCCCATTTTGGGCTTCCTATTTTAGTGGTTGGATTGGGATGTTCGCTGGGGGTACGATTTGGGTTTTGACCCATGCCCAAGTGGTGCGATAAGGGAAGAGACATGGAATGGCCCTTACCATCCAACTGGCGGCTTCGTTTAAGGGACCCGTCTGTCCGGGTTCATCCCTCCTTCCCTACTCAGAACCAGCAAGTTTTGCCAATGAACCCAGGGATTCCAGTTGGATTGCTCAGTCATTAAACTTTCTCACCGGCTGAGCAGTAGGAAAGGAAACACCTTTGCCCAGGTATTAATCATCTTCCATCTGCGTAATATGTGCTATTCCCCCTGTTGGTTTTCAAGGGAATCAATTTCACTACTGGAAGACTTGATGGTGCTCAGCAGGGAATGCGGGAGTGAACCCAAGGATTCCCGAACAAGGGAAGCCACCAGTTGGATTGTTCATAGAGTCATTCCATTTCTCACTCCCTGCTGTGCACCAGCAAGTTTGTCCGAGATCTTTGGTTCACCGCATTCCAGTGGGTGCCAAAAAAATATCTCCGACATCCGCACCAAAGAATTGGCAATCCGACAGCCTTGGAAACAACCGTTTTACCACTAGAAATTCCGGTTGCTTCTCATCTATCGTGATTCCAAGGAGCCAATGTTCTGGAAACCAATCTTTCATGGAACAAACAGCTCCGATTAGGCTTCATCTAAGGCTTCGTCTCTCAAGACCTGCTCGCACCCTGCAAAAGCCGCCACATGCACAAAATGGCAGCCTCTGGTTTGAAGTTGCCTTCTTTTTCGCGGTTTCACCCTACTCCACTCCGCTGCATATCCCTTATGCGGACTCTCTTTGTGGTAGCTGTGCCTTAACCGCACTGGACTCACATGTTCATTGAAATAATAAAATACGGCCATGCTAAAATTACCAAGCAGTCGCTGCAATCTCAGTAAAACTCATCATACTGGGAGCTCCTTCATTAGCACTTGTGTCGGCTTCCTGTCGTTTACAGTTCTGAAAGTTGTTCCAATACGGTCTGCTTGTGCGTGCGCGTGTGTGCCAGATGCTCCCTGTCTGCGGCTTCTGGTAAAGTGATTTACTCAAATGAACAAATCGATACTTAGAACAAACATTGGTGACGAACAAAATATGTCCAATACGGTCCTCGCAAATCACACCAGTTTGAAACCAAACATGTCCAAGAAAGCAAACTGGAGCTGCAAACATTTCACGCCCTAGCAAGGCTTTGGTCTGCCAAACTGTGTCGCTTGCCTTTTGGTAGGGTACACACAGCAAGGTTCCCGCCGCCTGCTGCTTCTTTGCGGTGAAGGCATAGAGGAAGTGGGAACAGGCCGCCTGGCGAAAAAACGACAAGGCTTGTGCTCCCCAGGTTTCAGACTTGGCTATAGGTCAAAAAATGTGTACCCAAAATGGCTTGCCCTGGTAAATGGAACCAAAGACTAAAACCTGCGGTCCAATTCCTGGTCTTCTTTTGCGCCAATTCACATTTCTCTACACCTCCCCACCCCTGAAACGACTCAATGCATCCTCCCCTATAAAGCCCGTACCCCCAGTGGACATCTCAATCCCCACTAAAATAAACTAAAATGTGTGGTGCACCTACCCCCAAAACGGGATCCCATTGGTTTTGACCCACAGCCATGTGTTTGCTTCAATACACCGTCACTTCGAATTCTCCGAGTGCCGACGCATCCCGCCCGCACCTCGCAGGGCGGCTTCAGCTGCCCCGCAGCACCCGGGGCCAATACCAGCATCCTGCCGAGATTTTCCGCCGAACCACGTCACTCTCGAGATGAGTGCACGAAAGAAAAAAACGGAAAACCAAACGGTGGCATAATGGCAGCATTGAAGCACAAACATGTGAGAGGTGGTTTTTATTCCCTTTAAATTTGCATTGACGTATCCAACCCTTCCACGAAACCTTCCGCGAAGCTTCCGCGCTGTGCAGGATACCTTCCGCGAGCATGTTTCTACATAAGTTTGTATAAGTGCTTCCGCGGGCCTTCCGCAGGCAAGTTGCCTCTGGAAACTGAGGAAGGTAGCGTCTGCGAGGGAATTCGTGCGAACGGTTTGCTAGTAAACGTGCTTGGCAACAACCACCCAACCGATTTCAAACTACTATGTGCAAATCAAAAGGGTCCCTTCCGCGAGCTTCCGTGGGAAAAGAACCTTCCGCAAACCTTCCGCAAACCTTCCGCGAAGCTTCCGCGACTGCCACATTTTTTGTTGATATGTCAACATCTATGGTCCCGTGTCCCGTGTTGCTACCCCCCCCCCCCATATGGTATGGGTTTTCCATAACCCCCCCCCCCCACCCCGGCCCGAGACCCCGAGCCCCGGATCCTGTCACACCCCGACCCCATGAACTCGCACCCCGACACCCCGGCACCCCCAGGACAAGCCAACCCGCAACCAACCATAAACCAACGCTAAACTAACCCTAAACGAAGCCTAAATACCCCCTAAACCAAACCCTAAACCAACCCTAAATCAACATAAACCAACCGTAAACTAACCCTAAACCAACCCTAAACTAACCCCAAATGCACCCTAAACCAATCCCTAAACAATAAAACCTAAACCTAAGCCGACCCTAAACCAACCCTAAACTAACCCTAAACCAACCCTAAATAGACACTAAACCAAACCCTAAAACGTAAACCTAAACCAACCCTAAACCAACCCTAAACCAACCCTAAACCAACCCTAAACCAACCCTAAACCAACCCTAAACCAACCCTAAATCAACATAAACCAACCCTAAACCAACCCTAAACTAACCCTAAATACACCCTAAATATACCCTAAACCAACTCTAAACCAACCCTAAACCACCACAACCCAACCACAGGACCACAACCACAGGGGGGGGGGTACTTGCCTGACCCATGACCATTGGTGGGGGGGGGGGGCTGCTGCAACGCTGTACCATATATACATGTTTGCTTGAGCGGAAAAATAAACCGCCACTCATTTGTAGTGCTCATCATGACATGGGACAAAAACCTAAATCAAATTGTGTCCGTCAAAGAATGTGTACTTATCCTTCAAGATGCTCACACTTGCGAAATCAAACGCATGGTCTTTGCGCACATGCATCTTCGGACTGCGCATTGGCAAAGGTAAAAGCAATGGTCCTCATGCGTATGTGACCTAGGATCAAGCATGAACACTGCTCTGCCACTGGTCACCCTTGCGGCCGACCTTGCCCTGAAGGAGGACAAAACAAACATGGCACACTTCAGTTTGCAAGCACGGCCCATCCCAGTTGATTCGACTTT